TTGAATGTGGTTTTGTATAAGAAAAAGTAAAATGAAAATGAGAAAGATGAAAACCTCCTATGTGTACTCTCTCCTGGTCAAAGGAAAAGAACAAAAGAAATACTAAGGGTAAGGTGAAGAAGAAGCACAGACGTGTAGACGTGTACATCAAAGTCTCACTTTAAACTCTTATATGGTAAATCAAAGTCAATAAACAAAAATATATTTTCAAATTGGACACACCTAACACTAATTCAGTCATTTTCACTTCACTGTTAACGATTGTAACGTAGTTAACCATTAGAATCTAATTTTATTATTTTAAAAAAAATGAAAATTTAATTGAATCAAATAAAAATTAAGAAACCTAATTAAATAATTATATTGAATATTATGACCAAATAAATATTTTAGCCTAATATGTGTTATAGTAAACTTAGGAAAAAAAAAAGGTGAGAATAGCAATGTCCATATCAACATAAAATGACAGGTAACCCAATTTGATGATGGCCCATGCCCCCAATTGCAGATTCGGGTTAGGGTTTCAGTTTGAAGCAACTAAAACGGGATTATCTTTCTCTCTCACATTCACTGTGTCAGTCTCTCGTTTGTGCTGCCTTCGTTTGCCTTTCTCGCACTGGTAAGAAGCCTCCTTCGATCCATATTTTTTTCCTGTGGAATTTGGGTTCCCAAAACCTATCCTAATTGCAACACTTTCCTCTCCGAATTTCCAAATTCTCTTGGTGGAATTACATTTTTTTTGTGGTTTAATGACTTTTTAGGTCACTTCGAAGTTCGAAGCAGTCTGTTAATGGATTTCAATCGAAGATCTGATTTTTCTAATTTTTTTTTGAAATTCTTATTGCTCATATTACAATTCGTTTTATGCATATTTTGTAGAAGAATTAACGCACATAGCAAGCATGGCAGTCACATTCTACGACCTTAGCTCTGCCTCTGGGTTGAAGAAGCTTGATGAGTACCTTCTCTCACGCAGTTACATCACCGGGTATGTCACTGCTTTCATCCATCTTCTTTTGTATATTTTCTTTATTTTTTTTTTCTTATCTTTCTTTTTTGTGTATTGTCCCATTTCACGTGCTCTATAGGTACCAAGCTTCAAAGGATGATCTCACTGTCTATGCAGCTTTGCCAACTGCTCCATCAACTGAGTATGTCAATGTGTCTAGGTGGTTCAAGCACATTGATGCTTTGTTGAGAATCTCGTAAGTTCGCTTCCCTTGACTTTGCTCGCCAATTATATGTATAATACTTGGCACGTGAGATGATTATATTTTAATGCCAATATTCTGTTTACAGTGGTGTTTCTGGTGAGGGATCTGGTGTCACTGTTAAGGGATCTCTTGTTACTGAGCCTGTTGCAACTCCCCCAGCTGCTGATACAAAGGCAAGTATCTTTCTTAAGATAGATATTTCGATTGTGGTGTTGGATTCATTTCTTTTTAGCATTGTGTGGGTTAACTATAATATTTTATTGACCTTTCATTTAATGTACGTTGTTTTTCAGGCTGCTGCTGCTGCTGCTGAGGATGACGATGATGATGATGATGTGGATTTGTTTGGTGAAGAGACAGAGGAAGAGAAGAAGGCAGCGGAGGAACGGGCAGCTGCAGCGAAGGCATCTGGAAAAAAGAAAGAATGTAAGTTTCACTGTTGTCATTTACCTGTTATCTTTGAACTTTATGCCGCCCCTCCCCTCCCCTGTTTATAGCACTTTGTGCGTGCATTGATTTTCGGCTGACTCTATTTTTCAGCCGGGAAGTCATCTGTTCTGATGGATGTGAAACCATGGGATGATGAAACGGACATGAAGAAGCTCGAGGAAGCAGTGAGATCTGTTAGCATGGAAGGCTTGCTTTGGGGTGCATGTATGTCATTT